ATTCCTGCTTTCATTCTTTGGTTACTTCCCATAGGCTCCAGGATAATCTCCTTTAGGATCATATCTAAGGCCTTCATGATCTGACTCCTATCAAACTTCCCAGAGTTTCCTTACCATTCCTATCTTCACATCCTGTGCTCCCCCTGAGATGAACTATCAAGGTTTGCTGTCTCATGGCCCTGTGCCTGAGCACGTGATGCTCCCTCAGCCAAAATGCCCTTTCCCTTCTCCATCTAATCACATCCTCCCTGTCTGTTAGATGTACCAAGTATTTCCATAGCGTGCTGTAACTGCCTGGATCATAGCAAGGATCTCAGTCGATTGTATTGTTAGTCTACTGGCTGTTACCCTATTAGACAAAGATCCTCAGAGTGGCAATTGCAGTGCAATCTCTGCATAGCTAATTCCTGACCCATAGTAGACTCAATAAATATTTGATGGTTAAACTGGAGAAAAAAAGAATCATACACTTTTCCCATTCTTCTTCTTTTTGTCTTTTTGGTTTTTGAATGCTTCCTTTTCATTTCTGCTTCACTGGATCCCAAGAGGTCAACCGTGACAATGTAGTAATATTTAACATTCCCACTGACTTGTTTGTGTACGTTTTTAGAGGTGTGTTTTCTTGGGCAAGAGTTGGATCTCTTTGTAAAGAATTTCTCTCCCAGTACTAGCTGAGTTCATATTGCATATACTAACCTTGTGTTCTTTTCTGAACAGTACCAACTAGTTTTGTTAGTGAACTTCAGATGTACACGACACAGGGCTTCCGGGTCATAGGACTGGCCTACAAAAAGCTGGAAATGGACCATCATACCACTGCCTTGATGAGGTAAATGGGATGGGGGGCGGATTTTGATAAAGCAGAATGGTTTCGTGGGAAGATGCACCAGACTGGGCAGTGGACCCAGCAGCACAGCTTACTGAATTTGTGTGCATGAAATGCCTCTGAACTTAGTAAATGGGGATATAGTCATCCCTGCCCTGCCTAAATCACAAAGCTGATGTGAACACTGACTGGGAGAACTGATGAGAAATAGCTGTATAAATTGTAAAATATGATGTGATTGTACAGCTTTGTGAAAACAGATATACGAATACAACCCATGTTTCAGAGAGTTTGAAATTGTGGTCATGCCCCCATTTTTTTTTTTTTTTTTTTTTCTTTTTTTGCGGTACGCGGGCCTCTCACTGTTGTGGCCTCTCCCGTTGCGGAGCACAGGCTCCGGACGTGCAGGCTCAGCGGCCATGGCTCACGGGCCCAGCCGCTCCGCGGCATGTGGGATCTCCCCGGACCGGGGCACGAACCCGTGTCCCCTGCATCGGCAGGCGGACTCTCAACCACTGCACCACCAGGGAAGCCTGTGCATTAGTTTTGTATCCTGCTACTTTACGAGATTCATTGATTAGCTCTAGTGGTTTTCTGGTAGCATCTTCAGGATTCTCTATGTATAGTATCATGTCACCTGAAAACAGTCACAGTTTTACTTCTTTTCTGATTTGGATTCCTTTTATTTCTTTTTCTTCTCTAACTGCTGTGCCTAAAACTTCCAAAACTATGTTGAATAATAGTGGTGAGAGTGAGCAACCTTGTCTTCTTCTTGATGTTAGTGGAAATGGTTTCAGTTTTTCACCATTGAGAACGACATTGGCTGTGGTTTGTCATATATGGCCTTTATTATTTTGAGAAGTTCCCTCTGTGCCTACTTTCTGGAGGGGTTTTATCATAAATTGGTGTTAAAATTTGTCCAAAGATTTTCTGTATCTATTGAGATGGTCAATGGTTTTCCTCCTTCAATTTGTTAATATGGTGTATCACAGTGATTGACTTGCATATATTGAAGAATCCTTGCATTCCTGCAATAAACCCCACTTGATCGTGGTGTATGATCCTTTTAATGTGCTGTTGGATTCTGTTTGCTAGTATTTTGTTGAGAATTTTTATGTTCATCAGTGATATTAGCCTGTAGTTTTCTTTCTTTGTGGCATCTTTGGTTTTGGTATCTGGGTGATGGTGGCCTCGTAGAATGAGTTGGGGAGTGTTCCTCCCTCTGCTATATTTTGGAAGAGTTTGAGAAGGATAGGTGTTAGCTCTTCTCTAAATGTTTGATAGAATTCACCTGTGATGCCACCTGGTCCTGGCCTTTTGTTTGTTAGAAGATTTTTAATCACAGTCTCAATTTCAGTGCTTGCGTTTGGTCTGTTTATATTTTCTGTTTCTTCCTGATTCAGTCTCAGAAGGTTGTGCTTTTCTATGAATTTGTCCATTTCTTCTAGGTTGTCCATTTTATTGGCGTACAGTTGCTTGTAGTAATCTCCCATGATCCTTTGTATTTCTTCAGTGTCAGTTGTTCTCCTTTTTCATTTCTAATTCTGTTGATCTGAGTCTTCTCCCTTGTTTTCTTGATGAGTCTGGCTAAGGGTTTATCAGTTTTGTTTATCTTCTCAAAGAACCAGCTTTTAGTTTTATTAATCTTTGCTACTGTTTCCTTCATTTCTTTTTCATTTATTTCTGATCTGATCTTTATGATTTCTTTCCTTCTGCTAACTTCGGGGTTTTTTGTTCTTCTTTCTCTAATTGCTTTAGGTGTAAGGTTAGGTTGTTTAGTTGAGATGTTTCTTCTTTCTTTAGGTAGGATTGTATTGCCATAAACTTCCCTCTTAGAACTGTTTTTGCTGCATCCCATAGGTTTTGAGTCATCCTGTCTTCATTGTCATTTGTTTCTAGGTATTTTTTGATTTCCTCTTTGATTTCTTCAGTGATCTCTTGGTTATTTAGTAGTGTATTGTTTAGCCTCCATGTGTCTGTATTTTTTACAGATTTTTTCCTGTACTTGATATCTAGTCTCATAGCGTTGTGGTCAGAAAAGATACTTGATATGATTTCAATTTCCTTAAATTTACCAAGGCTTGATTTGTGACCAAAGATAGGATCTATCCTGGAGAATGTTCCATGAGCACTTGAGAAGAAAGTGTATTCTGTTGTTTTTGCATGGAATGTCCTATAAATATCAATTAGTCCACCTCGTCTAATGTGTCATTTAAAGCTTGTGTTTCCTTATTTATTTTCATTTTGGATCATCTGTCCAATGGTGAAAGTGGGGTGTTTATGTCCCCTACTATTATTTTGTTACTGTTGATTTCCCCTTTTATGGCTGTTAGCATTTGCTTTATATATTGAGGTGCTCCTATGTTGGGTGCATAAATATTTACAATTGTTATATCTTCTTTTTGGATTGCTCCCTTGATCATTATATAGTGTCCTTCTTTGTCTCTTGTAATAGTCTTTATTTTAAAGTCTATTTTGTCTGATATGAGAATATGCTACTCGAGCTTTCTTTTGATTTCCATTTTCATGGAATACCTTTTTCCATCCCCTCACTTTCAGTCCGTATGTGTCCCTAGGTCTGAAGCCAGTCTCTTGTAGAAAGCATATGTACAGGTCTTGTTTTTGTATCCATTCAGCCAGTCTATGTCTTTTGGTTGGAGCATTTAATCCATTTACATTTAAGGTAGTTATCGATATGTATTTTCCTATTACCACTTTCTTAATTGTTTTGAGTTTGTTATTTTAAGTCTTTTCCTTCTCTTGTGCTTCTGCTGAGAGAAGTTCCTTTAGCACTTGTTGTAAAGCTGGTTTGGTGGTGCTGAATTCTCTTAGCTTTTGATTATCTGTAAAGGTTTTATTTTCTCCCTCAAATATGAATGATATCACTGCTGTGTAGAGTAATCTTGGTTGTAGGTTTTTCCCTTTCATCACTTTAAGTATGTCCTGCCACACCCTTCTGGCTTTCAGAGTTTCTGCTAAAAGATCAGCTGTTAACCTTTTGGGGATTTTCTTGTATGTTAATTGTTGCTTTTCTCTTGCTGCTTTTAATTTTTTTGTTTTGTATTTAATTTTTGATAGTTTGATTAATATGTATCATGTCATGTTTCTCCTTGGATTTATCCTGTACGGGACTCTCTGCCCTTCCTGGACTTGATTGACTATTTCCTTACCCATATTGGGGAAGTTTTCAACTATAATCTCTTCAAATATTTTCTCCTTCCCTTTCTTTTTCTCTTCTTCTTCTGGGACCCCTATTGTTCGAATGTTGGTGTGTTTAATGTTGTCCAAGTGGTCTCTGAGATTGTCCTCAATTCTTTTCATTCTTTTTTCCTTATTCTGCTCTGTGGTAGTTATTTCCACTATTTTATCTTCCAGGTCACTTATCGTTCTTCTGCCTCAGTTATTCTGCTATCCATTCCTTCTAGATAATTTTTAATTTCATTTTTGTGTTGTTCATCATTGTTTGTTTGCTCTTTAGTTCTTCTAGGTCCTTGTTGAACGTTTCTTGTATTTTCTCCATTCTATTTCTAAGATTTGGGATCAACTTTACTATCATTACTCTGAATTATTTTTCAGGTAGATTGCCTATTTCCTTTTTTTTTTTTTTTTTTTTGCGGTACGCGGGCCTCTCACTGTTGTGGCCTCTCCCATTGCAGAGCACAGGCTCCAGACGCGCAGGCTCAGTGGCCATGGCTCACGGGCCCAGCTGCTCTGTGGCGTGTGGGATCTTGCCAGACCGGGGCACGAACCCGTGTCCCCTGCATCTGCATCGGCAGGTGGACTCTCAACCACTGCGCCACCAGGGAAGCCCCCTTATTTCCTCTTCATTTGTTTTGTCTGGTGGGTTTTTACCTTGCTCCTCCATCGGCTGTGTGTTTCTCTGTCTTCTCATTTTGCTTAACTTATTGTGTTTGGGGTCTCCTTCTTTCAGGCTGCAGGTTCATAGTTCCCATTGTTTTTGGTGTTTGCCCCCAGTGGCGAAGATTGGTTCAGTGGGTTGTGTAGGCTTCCTGGTGGAGAGGACTAGTGCCTGTGTTCTGGTGGATGAGGCTGGATCTTCTCATTCTGGTGGGCAGGACCATGCCTGGTGGTGTGTTTTGGGGTGTATGTGAGCTTATTATGATTTTAGGCAGCTTCTCTGCTAATGGGTGGGGTTGTGTTCCTGTCTTGCTAGTTGCTTGGCATAGAGTGTCCAGCACTGTAGCTTGCTGGTCATTGAGTGGAGCTGGGTCTTTGCGTTGAGATGGAGATCTCTGGGAGAGCTTTCACCCTTTGATATTACATGGGACCAGGAGGTCTCTGGTGGACCAATGTCCTGAACTCAGCTCTCCAGCCTTAGAGGCTCAAGCCTGATACCTGGCCAGAGCACCAAGACCCTGTCAGCCACATGGCCATGTATGTGGGGAGTTTCTTGCCTTTTGGGATGTCTGAGGTCTTCTGCCAGCATTCAGTAGGTGTTCTGTAGTAGGTGTTCCACATGTAGATGTATTTTTGATTTATTTGTGGGGAGGAATTTGTTCTTCATATCTTACTCCTTAGCCATCTTGAAGGTGCCTCACCTCACTTATTTTTAACGGTGTTTTCTACCAGAGCTAGAACTCTCTGGTGGCTGTTAACAGGCATGGTGATGAAAATCACCACAGAAGATGGAAGACAGCTTTGTGGTCATTTAATTCATTCTCTGCAAAGATTAAAGTTAATCTCATCCTTAATAAGCATCCTCTCTTCATTTCAGTTCTGTCAGAACAAAAGTCTCTGTATCCTTGTGCCCCCTCCTGTTTTCTTTCTGGATAGTTTCTGCACACATTCAGTGCCCCAGGAATGGTGCGTGAATGAGTGGGGACCACTCTGAGAGCAAGATATCTGACTTTGTTTTTGTTTTGCTTCCTGTAAGAAAGACTGTAATGTGTGATTTCTGTTCAATCATCCATATACTTCCAGGGACCAGGTAGAATCAGACCTGATATTTCTGGGATTGCTGATCTTGGAGAATCGACTGAAGGAAGAGACAAAACCTGCCCTGGAAGAGCTCATCTCAGCCCAGATAAGGACTGTAATGATCACAGGTATAGGACAAAGTGTGTGTGAAAACAGGAAGAATTTGATGTGGAAATAGACAGAGATTCACTCATTTAGCAAATCTTGTTGACTTGCTACTATGGGCCAGACACTGTTCTAGATAGACACTGGACATGGACAACAAAATAGGCAAAGTTATTACTCTGAGCATCCTTTTACGTGAGTTAAGATAGAAAATCAATCATTCAATTGAATAAACAGCTACCAATAAGTGTTATGAGATACATAAAACAGGTGATGTGGTAAAGTGTGTCTAACCAGCTACTTTAGATGAGGTGTCCTTTCTGAGAGGGAACGTTTGAAATAACACCCGAATAAGAAGACATAAGCCATGCAAAGATGTTGATTTTTATTATTAAATGTTCAGAGAAGAAGAATGCTTAGTCAGCATGGTCTGTAAAATACACTGAAGGCCCATCAATGAGAGCTACAATTCTGGAGATTAAAAAATGCTGTCCCTTCTACTCTCACTCCCAAACTCCAAATCACAAACAAGGGAGCAGTGAGAAAAGATTATGCAAGAGAAATGTGTGAAATTTCTTAATGAATGCTTCCGAGTAGAGAGTCAATGATTTCCTGATGCATTCATGTTTTTTGAGTGTGTATTGCCTTCCCTTTCTCTGCTCTCGAAGTTAGATGCATTTAACTCTATGAATTCTGGCATCAAAATACAGTCTTGCTGCACCAAAGCACTCTCTCCCTATCCCACTGTCCTTGAACCCAGTTTGATGTTGGAAACTCGAGAAAGTTCACCTCCCCTTTGGAGCTTCTCCACCCCCCTTCATTACCACACCCTCCAATCCAAGAGACTTTTGGATCACTTTTTCCCTCTCCCTTCTTAGCCCCTCTGCCCAACTTCTAGGTGCTGCTGAATTAGTTTACTACTTATTAGAATTCCCCTTACATTATGACCCTTCTGCTTCAAAATTTTTATTTAGCCCTTATTTTACACAGTCTCAGAATCTATCCTTTACCAGTTAGATTTATGTAGAAGTAAGAGCTCATCGCTCACAACACTCCCTCTTCACTTCTTCTTTCATATTGAAATTTCTGTTCTGCTTCTTTCCTTGCTTGGTTGTAATTTTTCTGGAGAATTGTCCTTGGATGGGTTGGAAGGGTGATATGCTCTCTGATCTTTTACATACCCTGAAATAACTTTCTTTGCTCTGATAGGTGAATGATGTCTTGCCTGGGTATAGGATGTTTGGGTTAGAGTACTTTTTTAAAAAAAATTTTATTGGAGTATAGTCGATTTATAATGTTATGTTAGTTTCAGGTGTACAGCAAAGTGAATCATTTATACATATATCAATACATATAATATATCCACTCTTCTTTAGGTTCTTTTCCCATATAGGTCATTACAGAGACCTATATTACACTACTAATGTAGAGAACTCTACATTACAGAGTAGAGTTCCCTGTGCTATACAGTAGGTCCTTATTAGTTATCTATTTTATATATAGAGTCCTTTTTTATTAATGGTCTGTAGGTTTTATTCTTTTGTCTTCCAGTTTTTGGTATTGCATATCACAAGGCCAGTGGAGTCCACTGTAGGTAACTTGTTCTGTTTACATATAATCCTTTTTCTATGTGCCTATGTGTTTGTCTTTTTTCATTCATTTAGTCTGGAACACTGTGAGCATTTTTAATGTCTTCTTCTTCTCAGGAAAATTTCTTCTATTGTTAATTAGGGCTTTTGTTCTCTCTCTTGCCTTCTTCCCTTCTGGAATTTCCATTATTCACATGACAGGCTTCCTGGGTCTATCCTCTCCGTCTCTTACGTTTTCTTTTTGTAACTCATATTTAAAAATTTTTCATATAATTTTTAAAGGCTATATTCCATTTACAGTTACTACAAAATATTGGCTATATTTCCCATGTTGTACATACATCCTTTTAGTCTATCTTACGTAACTCTCATATTTTTATAATTTTGCTCTGAGCTTTAAGGGTTCTTTTTTTGCACCAAATTTTTTCAAACTGCAGACTCAGGTATCAAAAATGAGGATGATCTCCTTCAAATCACCTTTTGAATTGTGAAGTTCTTAAATTGTGTTTTGGAGTAGGAGTGACTTTAGAAAACCATTTTTTGCCTGTGCTCCATTTGAGTTTCCTAAGTGCTCTCATTACTTTTAATGCCGCTTTCTTCTGTCTCCAGCAGCTAGCCTACTTTACCAGTCATGTTCTGGTTGTTCTGCCTTATATTTCCTTATATAGCTTCTGGAATTTCTTAAGTAGGTTTTTATCTTTTTTTGTCAGATGGTTGAGGATCAGGCCTGGGCTGCATGTCCTAAACAACAGACCTCTCGCAGGTGACAGATGGCAAAACGGTCTGTGTTGCAAAGCAGATGGCTTTTGTTGCCCTGCTGAGGCATGTGGAAGAGCCTCTCACTCTCAGGGCTCCCTGTACTCTTCTGATCTCGGGCTAGAGCATCTCCCTCCCCCCAGTTAGCTCTTTTGAGGATTCTCAAAGTATTTTGGTAGAAACCTGGGAGAAACCATGTTAGGGATAGCCAGCCAGTTGTTACATTATTTATTTTTAGTTGTTGCTCTACGGATCACTATATCTGTACCTACCCTTTCAAGAAGGCTTATCATCATAAACATCCCCTACTTTCTCTCCTCTGTTATTGTTGTATATATATATGTGTATGACATACAATGAAACCCCACCAGACAATGTTAGAGTTTTGAACATAAGTGAAGAAAAATCGACTTTATATTTATACAGCTCTTTATTATTTCTGTTCCTAAATGTTCATGTCTTATGTTGCAAGTATCATTTCCATTCAGCCTAAAGAACTTCTTTAAGCATTTCTTTTTGAGCATATCTTCTGGCACAAATTATCTTAGATTCCCTTATCTAAGAATGTCTTCATTCCTGAGAATATTTTCATTAGCTATAGCAGTCTGAGTTGACAATTTTTTTCTTTCAGCACTTTAAAGATGTTCCACTGTTATCTTGCCTTCATGGTTTTTGATGAGAAATCTCTGATAATTAGAATTATTGTTTCCTTATATGTAATTTATTGTTTTCCCTAGCTGCTCCTAAGATATTTGCTTTGTCTTTGGTTTTTTAGCAGCTTGATTATGTGTCTGGGTGTGGTTTTCACTGAATTTATCTTGTTTGGGATTCACTGAGCTTCTTGAATCTGTAAATTTAAATCTTTTACCATATTTGGGAAGTTTTCTGCTATTATGTCTTCAAAAAATTTTTTTCCTGTTCCAATCTTTCTCCTCTCCTTCTTGGGCTCTAATGACATGAATGTGAGTTCTTTTGATATTCTTCAATCTTTGTTCTTTGTTTTTTCAGTTGAGAACTTCTATCTTGTCATTTATTTCAAGAGTATTAACCTTCACCACATGGAGGAGGATTACAATAGCTGCTTTAAAAGCATTGTCTGATAATTCCAACATCTGGGTCATCTTGGGACAGGCAACTATTGAGTTGTTTTTTCTTGAGAACTGGCCAGATTTTCCAGGTTTTTCACATGTTGAGAATCCTGAACATTTTGAATATTATGTTGGGATACTTTGGATCCTGTTAAAATCCTCTAGAGAATGTTGAGTTTGTTGTTTTCGCAAGCAAAACTCTGGAATATGGGAGGTGACTAATATCATGGTTCAATTCTTGAAGCTTTTGCTATCCTTCTTTGGGTTTGCTCTGCACGTGCACAGCTCTGGGTTGAGCTTGGGGCTTACATAGTTCATACACTGAATTAGTCTCCTTGTCTAGCTTTCTTCTTTCTAGGATTTCCCTCACAACTCTTCAGGCCTCCAGTGCCCCTTTCCTGGTTCCTTTGGCCAGAAAAAGTAGGTTTTTCTTGGAGTTTTAGCTATCTGCATAGCTCCGGGACTGGGGCTCACACTCAGGTCAAATTACATGAGAGGAAAGAGAAAAAAAGCTGAGAATCTCTCCACCTTGTAGATTATTTCTCCAAATTTGACTCCCTTTCACATTATGCCATTTGTGTTTACTTTTCAAAGTCCTCAGGTAGGTTTTTTTAATGGTATTTTTTCCAGAGTTTTCCATTGTAATCAGTGGGAGAAATAGATTCTAGTGGGCTTACTCCATATTAGCTGGAAGTGGAACCATGAGATGTCATATTAAACCAGTAGAGTTTTGCTAAACATTTACTAAGCTGTTGACAAATAACAGAAATATATTTGAACTTTTCCTTTTTAATTTTACTTCCCACTCCCTGGCAAAAATATACTAGTAGGTCATAAAGTAACCAGATGAAAAGCAGCAATAATAAGAAAAGGGATCACAGAATCATGGAAGGTCAGGGCTGAGAGAGAACTTAGAGACTATTTCTTCTCGCACCAAAAATAAGGTCTGAACTCCTTACCCTAGCTTTCTAGGTTCTATGTGAATTGGTTCTGTCTCTTCAATCTCATCTTGGGATACTTTTCCTTTCTTCTAGGTGACAATCTTCAGACTGCAATAACAGTGGCCAGAAAGTCTGGAATGGTTTCTGAAAGCCAGAAAGTCATTCTCATTGAAGCAAATGAAACTACTGAGTCCTCATCAGCATCTATATCTTGGCAATTAGTCGAAGAGAAGAAACATATTGCTTATAGGAATCAGGTATACCTAAAAGCAGACCTTCTGCCATATTATCTAACTCGTCACACAGTGTTGACTACTGAGCAGCTTTGACTGGCAGAGGTGTACAGGTGACCTAGGGTCAACATACTTCTCCAAATGTCTAACATGTATACAGTTCAAAGAACTCAATTATATCATTTTCCCATACCATTCCTACTGAGCTTTAAGGTATGGTGCTTTCCTGGGTGCTGGAAATAATCCATTCTTTTAAACTTAAAAAAGTCTTTAGAAAGAATATAGTAAGTGGGGCTGCAAGTCTAATTTTCCATTTTTTCCCTTGCTTGCCAGCCATCCCACTGGGTTCAAAGGGGATTTAGTCCCTAAGAGAGACGCTGCTGTGTGCATTGGAAAATCAGACTATATCTTCAGGGTGGGAAGAAGTTTTATTCATTTATCTCCAATCTTGTCAGTATCCTATGTTATGTCCTTCCTTATGAAACAATATTAATTCTGTAAAAAAAAAAAAAAAAAAAAGCAAATTCATTTCTGGTGCTTAGTGGCAAATTCTTGATAGAAGACTGGTAGTTGGTTCATGGGAAGGCATTAGGAGAAAACGTCAGTTGGCCAGTTCTCCTGGTGTCCCGTGAAAGCAGCTGCATGGGTGTTGCCCTTGTTAAACCATGGCTTGACTTCTCTCTTCCAAAAGACAGCTTGCAAACATTGAGCTGAATGTGAGAATGTAAAAAAAAAAAAAAAAAAAAGGAAAGTTCTCGCCTCAGGGAGGGATTTGTTAAGCTGCAATGCTTTTGTATTTTACACTCGAAATGTGTGAAATGTGCTTTTTTCTGCGACTCACTGAGATCAAATCAGGATGAGAACAGGACGTGAGTGTTACCCCCCTCTTCACTAGAGGCTGTTGATGTGCAAAGATTGATCCAGCAAAGAGAAAGTGCTTCTCTGAGGAATCAGGGCCGGAGTGTGACTTTTATAGAGAGATCCCAGACTGTCATTGTTGCCTTCGCTCAGATATGCTTGTGGTCCTCACCACTCTATCAAGTCTAAAATTACTGCGTCTTGCCTTGCAGGACAGTTACATTAACATCAGGAAAGAAGTCTATGATACCAGCAGAGAAGGAAGTTACCATTTTGCCCTAAGTGGAAAATCCTTCCAGGTTATAAGTCAACATTTCAGCAGCCTACTGCCAAAGGTAAGTTCTAAGAGGGTACCAGTCTCCTAGTAAAGATGCTAACAATGTCACAGAGCATGATCGTGAGTAATTTCAAACCTCTAACTAGGTTAGATATACCTATTGAATGTATCACAAGGGAAGCAGATAGTTTTGCAGAGGTCACTGCTGTTTCATTTCCTGCTAGATTTAAAATAAGTAAATTTGATTAACTAATTATCCATCATCTATAGGATTAAAATATTAGTGACTTCTTAAGTGATAAGATTGCTTTGGGGGAGCTGTCACTATATTGCCATGGTTAGGGGGTCTAACAGTATAGTGTAAATCCAGCAATTATACAGGAAGGCAGGCCAAAAATAGAGGAATTCCATTAGGTTTTTGTTAGAGGACGTCTGTACAAAAGAGGGTCAAACTTAAAACATTTCTGATGAAGAACAAACCCACAATGAGGGCAGGTGAGTTATATACATAAAAAAAACATGTGAGCAAACTAGAGAAAGATTGTGTCCAGTGTAAAGCAAAGAAAATTTATTTGTATTCAATTGCTCATTATCTTAAGTACTGTTTAAGAAAAAAAGAATGAAGACTTTAAAGCTGAGTGAACAATAAGCTGAGTTTACAGCCAAGAAGAGCAGGGAGCACACAGCTGTAACACAGAAGAATTTAGACTCTGTAGGATGGGGTTCAGGTGGATGGAGCTGGTACAGGTTTTTATACAACAATCCATTAATGTGACAATCCATTAATGTTTCAGAGCCCAAATTAGGCTGGAGATATCAGCTGAGTTTCACAGTTGGTTAAGCCCAGAGGGTATGGTTAAGTCAAAGGCCACAGATAGTCACCCTCTCATCTCTAGGCTATTTTTCTGCTAGATCTGAACAATTTTCTGAGAAGCAATTGCCTCCTTTCCTTCTCCTGGGATCCTGACCCCTTGTTATCTTGCAATTTCTCATACTTTACTGGTTCAAGGTTCCATCAAGCTCAGGGTTTTTTAGGACGACATCCTTCGTGGCCCCTGAACTAAATTCCTGTAGGTCATCATTTTCATCAGTTATGTCTGTTAAGTAGTCATTTTTACCGATTTTGGTCTTCCTGATCACTTATCTGATGACCAAAGTCTCAACATCTGTCTTAAAATCCAAAGAAGGACTTCTTGGAAACAAATATTTTTCTCACTCATGGATATCATTACCCAGTCAGTGTTCTGAATGTTACCAATTACTGCATGTATGACCAGCTGACATAATAAAAAAATTTTCCCTTTTGCATTCTTTACAGATATTGATCAATGGGACCATCTTTGCAAGAATGTCTCCAGGGCAGAAATCCAGTCTGGTGGAAGAATTTCAGAAACTAGAGTAGGTCTTTACCAATTCAGATGGTGTGAAGTGCATGGAGGCATGACAGGGGGAGAGTAAGGAAGTCACTCAGTTTGGTTAGGGTAGTGGTTCTTAATGTGGCTACACATGACAGTCACCTTGGGAGCTTTGAAAAATTAGCAATACCAGGACACCACCATTCAGAGATTCTGATTCAATTGCTCATGTGGGCACTTGGACATCAGTATTTTTTAAAAGTTCCTTTCATAGGTCAATTATGCATGCAGAATTGAGAACCCCACTGAACTAGAGCATAAGGTGGACAGGAAATAACTCTGGAAAGGTCATCTGAACTTGGCTCCTAAATGTACAATGAAAATTTAGACTTCATTTTTACAAATTATTTTCTCGGTTATGATACAGGGAGGTCCCTATGACAAGAGACTCACATAACCCTAAAAATACTAAAACATTCTTATGCCAAAGCATCCTCTCCATCCTAAATCAGAAAAATATTCTTAACACAAAGGGTCTCCATTGTCAGAATCCCATCATTTGGGATCCTTTATTTCCTGTTAATGGAAGCCCATGGAGTCTCAGAGGCTTTCTCTACCTCTGGTGCTGGACCACACTCACACAGCTCCAACTCCTACCCATCCCTAGTCCACCCTCATACTCATTGATTCAGTCACTAGGCAAAAGATCTATATTCACAAAGCCCTATCTTCTCAATATGGCTAAAATCCTCCACAGTAAACTCGTTGCCTTAGGTAGAAGTGTGGAAGACAAGTACAGCAAATTCTGCAAACACTGTCAGAGTGCTCCTACCTTATAAAGCAGACTGTCTTCATCAACAATTCAAGAGAGCAGTATTCATCCGGCCTCAAAAAGCAATCCTGAAATGCGGATATATTTTCTTTCTTCAACTTCTGGTCCTGGCACCACATTTTTGAGTTGAGTGACTCACAGCTGACACGGTGGATTTCCTCTCCAGTTACTACTAATGTCACCAACAATAATTCTTATTTATCATTTTAGAATACATCACTTCACTGAATACTCATAATGCTTGTAGGGGAGAAAAATGATAGTCAAAATGGGGAAGTGATCAGGTCAGAGATCCAGATCTTCTGGCTTCAAATTCTGTGCCTTCCCCACCATCCATGCTGTCATATAATCGTGAACATCCTGTTTTACAGCTCACAGAGCTGCCTCCTAGGCAGAGAAGTGCGGGGTCTCCTTGAATCGCTTGGAGTCAGGAAGGCTGTATGGGATTTCTTAATCCATTGTAGGAACTGCTGAGTCATACTTTATTTCAGTCAAACCGGACTGTTAGGGAAACTCCCTTAAAATAAATAATAAGTTTGAGCCTTAAGTAATGAAGCTCATTTTATCTTAGAGCAATTAGAAGGTAAGATTGCTTTGATCTCCTCTGCAATTGACACGGTTCCCTTTTAGTTACTTTGTAGGTATGTGTGGTGACGGAGCCAATGACTGTGGGGTAAGTAGCTGTCAGTGTGTCAATTGTACTTGCTTCAAGCCCTGTAAGAGATAGTATCCCCTGGGATATATGCCACCTCCATTCCTCTTGAAGGAGAAACTGATGTGGGCGGTTTGGAAAGGTTTTAACCAAAGCCACACAATGACTCAGTGGTCAGTACAGACTAAATGGGGAAGAATTTGGTTCTGGATTCCCCACTTCTCTAGCTAGGTGTCCCAGTGCCACCTCTTTCTTATGTGGCAGGCAGAGCAAAATTTGATCATCTCCTGGCCACTGCTTGGGCCCACAAGCCACTTCGTGGGCAGCTTAACTAGCCTTTCTTGTGTGGCCTCAGGAGAGATGTGTGTGAGTGTGCATCTATACAGTAAGCTGACTCTTTACTTTCAGGCTTTGAAAATGGCTCACGTGGGCATCTCTTTATCAGAGCAGGAGGCATCTGTGGCCTCACCTTTCACTTCCAAAACTCCAAACATTGAATGTGTACCTCACCTTATCAAGTAAGTAGGTACTTTTCCCCAGCATTGTTTTCATGTCTCTTGACTTTTAGGTGCAGACCCCTTTGTTTTGCCAGGCAAAGACCAGTGGAAATGTGTGTCCCTGGGCGGGGAGGGTGCTTTGTGGGAGAAAGCAATCAAACATTCTATTCCGGAGTGGACTTACCTCCTGGGAAAACAGTGGCATTTCTAATGAAAATCACTGAATAGATTATTTTTAGAAGATTAGAATCTGGAACTTGTTGCTGCTTTGAAAATGTCAATCATACTCTTCTTATTATTTTAAATGAATCTCCTTAGATACTGTCTTAATGGAGAATCGATAGAAACTTTCTCTTCCCTACTTGCTTTCCTTTCCTCTTGCCTCTTTATGCTTCCTTGGAATATCCTTCCTATCCCCAGTTTTCAGAATATTTATTCATCTCTGCTGCTTCTACTACAATTTCCTTTGGTGCTTTGTTCCCCTCCCCCAACCCCAGAATATGTACTTCTGCTGCATTTTGTTTGAATGATGGAGACGGTTAGCATTGTGGCTGCTTTTGGTTATTATAACCAGTATGTGTTTACAGTTTATAAAGTGCTTTAATGCCTAGTATCTTATACATCAAAACAGCCTGGAATTGTAGGGATGGTCACTATTTCTTTTACAAACAAAGAAATCGAGGCTCAGAGAACTTGATGTATCGAAGCTCACAGCCATATAGGATTGAAGATTGCATTAGAATTAATTTTGTTTCAATATCTACAAATATCATACTCCTTCCACCACATTAAAATAATGATTTGACTAGCTCCTCCCCACTTAAAAAATGTATTCATGCATTTGACAAATATTTATAAAGTAGGGACTTAGTGCCAGGAACAGTTGGAGGCACTGGGGACCCAGAAGCAAATAAATCGAACGTCCCTTGATCTCACGAAGCTTTCTTCCCGTGAAGAAGTTGGGCAATAAACACACACAGAAAAATCAGGGGTAGTGTGCAAAGTTGGAAGATGGCTTGGGCAGTGGAATCGGCAGCTTCAGATGCGGTGGTGTGGGGAAGCCTTTCTAAGGAGGTGTGGAGGAGAAACCACCTTCTAGGCGGAATAAACAGCAGCAGCAAAGCCCTGATACAGGAAAACGTCTAGTTTGAGGATGAGGTTTTGGAATCCCAGGAAACCATTCTGACCAGAATTAAATTTAAACTCTATTTTCCCCCAAATGAATGAGGTAAAAGTGGCATTTCATAAGTACTCTATTTTACACTCTAAATATATACTGTTCATTCAAAGTCAATCAACAGTAATACAAATGAACAGGCTTATTGATTCCAGTCTCTTTAAATTTGATGTGTGCCTAATTTGAGTGTGCATATTATCTTAGTTCAGTTTTAGAAAAAGTTGGGACTGCCAAATGAAATTTGAATGAGATGTTTGCAAACTCCTGAAGCACCTGGAGCATGAAAATACCCCCCAAACCTGCAATCTTATTTAAATTCCTCAGTTCACAGATGAAGAAACTGTGACCAAGAGAGGGAAAATGACCTTTCAAATCACATTAGTGAGTAGTAGATATGAGATCTGGGACCAGTTCCCAGGTCTCCTGACTCAGAGCTGAAATAATGCCTGCAGACAGAACAAGAGTAACTCTACATTCGGGCTCCAAAGCTTAATCAAAGGCCTGTGGACCTTGGCCTGGAATTAGTCTTCCTTGAAAATCTAGCACACTGACTGCCGGCTCCCACTGGCTCAAGACTGTCCAGTCTGTCAGACAAACAATCGAATTATCAGGTTTTGAGTTTTTCTTCTGAGCTCAGCTGAACAGCACAGAATAACTGACCTCGTTTCTTTTTGTGACTTTCATTTCATTTCTTTTCTCACACAGGGAAGGACGTGCAGCTCTCGTTACCTCATTTTGCATGTTTAAGTACATGGCTCTGTACAGCATGATTCAGTATGTTGGTGTTCTGCTGCTCTACTGGGTATGACTTGAGACCTAGCCTCTTGGTTAGTGAGAGCTAAAATAAGTAGCGGTCACTGGCGATTTGCAAAGCCTCTTAAAGAAAGAGCGCACATGGGATATTTCGAGTACCAACAGCCTCTCTAAAACTATCTTTAACGTTTCTGAAAGTAAATCAGAAATAGACAAGGATACAAAGGAAAAGTCGTTGGTGTCAGTTCTCTGACTCTCTGACAGGAGTTTCTCATCTCGTTGTAGCTGAGGTTCAGAACTGAAGGTAAACTTTCTCTCTCACTGTTGTTTTGGCTTGCCTGGACCAGGTCTCTATTTTCCCAGTTCCAGTGTGGCTCCACCCTAGCATAACATTCGTTAAAGAGGTGCTTCTCTAATTGGGGTTCTGGTAAATGTTTCATAACTGGCTCTCCCTGGAAACACAAGCCCTGATTATTAATGTTTACCAATTTCAATGGCATAACTACTCCCACCATGGCTGATTTCAAGCTATCTACCTGACGTCACTGAACATGGAGTTGGGAAGAGATGTATTATACAGTAGCATACCATTCTATAGTACTTGCACCATATAGATACAAGAGTTGTAAATAACCTTAAGACCACTGATAATATTTAAATGTAGGAAAATGATTAGAGAGTGATGAGTTTTGGCTGTTTATTACCTGTGTTTTTAGTATAATTTATTTAATGGTAAATTTGTATAATTTAAGTTTTTATATTGGATGTGTTTAAAAACCAGCTCACGGAAGTCCTGAAACTTTAGCAGTTGACTTTCATGAGCTAGTACAAAGCAGCATATCACTGATTCCCTGAATACAGGGACTTGAAAATTGGCATATCGCACCGCCCAAAGCACATAGGTCTTGTGATGGTTTTTACTGTTTAACAAAATATAAAAGACATATCTAGTATTTGTGAGCGCAACATGTGGGCTTATACTGTTAAGTAACACTGAGAAAGTGAATTCCATTTGTGCTGAAGGTATCTAGATTCATCTCTATGTCTTGCCCCCTTGCTCCTGGTATGAAGGTTTTTACTTCCATTATTTTCAGATTATATAAGTCCTTTTCATGGGCTGGAAAAGGAGAGGCTGTTTATAGAAATTTGGCCCTATTTTGGAATCCCAATAACTCATTATGCTCAAAAGTAGAGTTAAACATGGGTCATCATTATCTCCTTTCCACGAAGGGGGTGGGGGTGGGGGAAGGAAGTTTCTTGAAATCAGTAAAACATGAACATTTTTTTTCCAAGAATATCAAGATGCTTTATCAGGACTTTCTAACAACACCCAAGAATGCAAATAGTCTGTTTATTCTCATTTTCCATTGGTGAAATTTAGGTAAGATCACCACACATTTGTCACTGACCATTGGGAATGTGTCATTTTGTTGTGTCAGGCTAAACCCCAACCTTTCTGCTAACAAGTAGAAAAGAGAGTAGAGATGAATCAGAGTGAGATGTTCCCCTCAACAGGGGTGACACTGATGCTCAAAGGAGCAGCCCAGTAAACACACTGCAGTGGCCCTTCTGGCTAGAAAGGAGTTTGCAGGCTTGTCTTTGGTACCTCTGCCAACATGACCAGGCCCCTGACCATACCATCTCCTTGGTAATTTACTTGAAAATCCTATGTTGCAGTGAGAAAATGAGTGCAATTGATGTCACATTTCATCCAGAAGGTTATAACTTTTTTGAGCCACTTTCCTTTTTATTTTCAGGAGACAAACAGCCTTTCAAATTACCAGTTTCTGTTCCAGGATCTGGCCATTACAACTCTTATTGGTGTAACAAGTAAGATGTCTTTTAAATTTTCTTCTCAGAGATACTCCCCTCCACTTGCTTCCCTCTGCCCCTGCAGGGTTAGTCCACCATTGAGGGGTAGCAGCTATAGCCACAGTGATGAGTGACTTATTCCCAAAGGGGTATGGTATGCAGAGAGAGAAAGAGGGAATAGAATCTTCATTTTTAAGTGTTGAAAGTGTTAGCAAAGGAAAAGCTGGCTCGTTGTTTTGCTGTTTTCCACAAAATATAGAGCTTCTATAAATGGTCACTAAACCTTTAAAATGAAAAAAAGCACCTTGAAAATCAGGAACACTGACTTCAGTGTGCCTTTACGTATAGTTATGGTCCAAATGTGCCCAATTTATAGAAGTTAAATGGCTTTTATGTTTCCCATTTCCAATCCTAACCTCTCAGGATTTAGAACAGAGATTAAATGTAATCTTGCCGTTATGCCACTCTCACCCACCACCTCCTAACTGATATATGAATTGTCTCCCCAGTTTCCCCGCTATGGGATTTTTCCCCAGCCTGACCACTATCCATCATCTTTACCGTATTCTCTGCTTTTCTCTCTTATATATGAATGCCACCAGCACCACTTGTACTTTAAATCCTACCTGCTCCTACCTCCTCAAGGATTTTGTTCCTGGAATGATCTTTTTCTCTATCACCAACTTTTCTCTGGTCCACTGGATCATTCCAATCAGCAGATAAATATATTTTTGTATCTTCTTCCTTTAAAACCTCTTCTGTGACCCCCAAATCTACCATTAGCTACTGTCCCCTTTATTCTCAAACTTCCCAAACAGTTGAGTAGACCCACTTTGTCCACTTGCCATCTCTAATTCTATTGTCATTTCATTTCAATCAGCCAGATTCTAATGTTCACGGGCATGAATTTGGATTCTGGGCCTGTGCAGTTGTTTGGTGGAAGGCAGTGGTTTCCTGGCACATATGTAACAGCCAGCTCTCCAAAAAATTGTAGATATGCATGTATATGCATATGCATAGAAGCTTACTATAAGCTTTACTAAAAAGAAAAATGTGTAGTGAGCAATTATCAAATAACAATAAAATATACATTACTCTTTCTTGCAATTTCCATTTAGCCAATGGATTCTCACAGAATGCTTTAACTGAGTTTCATCAAAGTCTTGTATCCATAGTCAATATATTGTTGTGATTGATGACTGAAATAGTTCTGATGTGAATGCATGTTTGTTGACGTTTTTCTTTACCTGAGTGAGCAAAACAACACAGGCTTATGCTGAAACTTTAATCATTCATCAGTCATGTGAGCAACTTATTTGCTAATTTGGATAATAGTTCTTGAAATCTGGAAGAATATTTCCTCAGTTAAAAAACAATTGTTCATGATGTAATGGCTACAGACGTGACACACGTTTAAGTTCAATCTCCATTATTAACTTTAAGAACAGAGATAATGCTAAACTGTAGTAAAATCATTAGGATGTTATCAGTTCTGAGTATTCATTATCTTTGTTTTTAAGATAATATTTATTTAATTGCAACTTTATATAGTATTCTTCTAATAATGGCCATATTTAATAATTGGCTTGCAAACTTAGTGGCAGTTGGCTCTTGTGAGCTCGTATGAGCCAGCTCCAGACACCACTGGCTGAGAGGGTCCACATTACTGATACATTCAAAAATACCAGCATATACGCACTACTGTATATAAAGTAGGAAAACAACAAAGACCTACTGTATAAAACAGGGAACTATACTCAATATCTTGTAATAATCTGTAACGGAAAAGAATCTGAAAAAGAATATATGTGTGTGTGTGTGTGTGTGTGTGTGTATAACTGAATCACTTTGTTGTACTAGCACAACATTGTAAATTAACAATACTTCGATACAAAAAAAAAGTACCAATCTTAGACTGCCTCTTCCACATGCCGCCTGGTCTCGCTTTCACACTGTTTCCACTATTTCATCTTATACCTTGTCGTCATAATCTTAACAGCTATCACGCCAATTTATGGTTTAAAAAACTTGCTCAAAAGCTTTGCTTTCAGAGAACATACTCAAGGAGAGTAAGTACTATCCACACTTCGGCTGTCTCTTCCCCAACACTGCTCTTGTCAAGTCCACCAATGACTTCCTTGCGGTCAACAGTACTGATCACTTCTCTTTCCTCATTGTACTTGGATCTCTCAACAGCACTCTTATCCTTCAAAAGGTTTCTTCTCTTGACTTTTGTGATGCCGCACCCTGCTGAATTATCTATTGCCTTAATGAATACAGCTTCCTCATGTCTCTTGCTGGTCTCTGCTCCTTTACCTGTGCTCTAACTTTTAGAATGTTCCAAGGCTTGCTTGTTCTTAGGTTCTCTTGTCTTTTCAGTCTACACAATCTCCCTAAGTGATTTCAACCAATTCTATGGTTTTAATGTCATCTGTATGCTGATGAATCCCAAATTTATGTCTCTAAGCTTGATGTCTATCCTAAATTCTGGAAATGCAGCTGCTAAGCATCTAATCTTGGATATTTAACAGGACAGAGACTTAATGTGCCCAAACAGAATGCTTTATTCTATCAGATCTGATATTCAACAAAATTATTAAATATTTACTGAGTGTCTGGTTTGTATTACTTACTGTAATAGGCACTTGATATACATCAGTGGAAAAAACCATAGAAATTCCTTTCCTCATGGAGCTTGTATTCTATTGAAATAGTACCACAATCTACCAAGTTGTTCACATCGAAGACCCGGAGTCATCCTTAATTCCCCTCTTTTCTTCACCTTTACCTATAATATCTATCTATCTATATATACAATTCCTATTGGCTCTACCTCCGAAACACATCCTACATAGCTTCTCTCCATCCCTATTGTAGCCACTGTCACAAAGCCATGTCACCTCCCCTGTGGATTACTGCGATACCTTCACAACTGATCTTGCTTCAGCTCTTGCTGACTTCTCCTCACCCCAATTTACCTTTCACAGGGTAGTAAGACTGTTGTTTTTTAAATGTAAATTTTATCGTCATCCTTCCCATTTCCACTAAATCCAAAGTCTTACGTGATCCAGCTCCGGCTTACTTCTCCAGCTTCACCTCTAACCATATTGCTACCCACTTACTCGTTCCAGGCATCCTGGTCTTTCTGTCTTGTGAGCATTGCCAAGCTTGTGGGCACCTCAGCACCTTTGTTTTTGCTATTTTCTTTGCCTAAAATACTCTCCCTGTAGATCTTCCTATGGTTCTTGCTTTTTCTTATCAGTCAGAAAAATGTCACCACTTCAGAAAGGTCACTTTAAATAGTGACCAAGCCAGTTATTCTCTATCACCACACGTTCGGCTTTATTTTTTTCACACTACTTTTCACAATCCGAAATTATGATATTTACCTATGTTTTTATTTGTTTCTGCCTGCCTTCCCTCACTCAGTGTGTGCACTTCGTGAGAACAGCACCTTGTCTATCCTGATCACTGCTGTATTCCCAATACTTCTAACAGTGCCAGACATATCAAAGGAGCTCATTAAATATTTGTTAAATCTACTGTAAGAACATCCTTGGGCAGTCCTTACTGTTAACAGAGTAATCCTTTACATCAAGCCAGATCTACCTCTGTGTAACTTTCACCCATCTCAGTCTTCAGTTCTGCCATTTGGGGTGGCAGAGAATAGTCTGATTTTTCTCTCCAGAATAGTTCTTCAGATATTTGAAAACAGCTCTCATTTCTTCTGTGATTATTCTCTTTCCCATAACAAGCATCTCCAGATTTTTCTCTATTTTTTAATATAATTCATTGTGAAAAGAAGATGGAAAACATTGCAAGAGATAACAAAGAAAAAAACCACCTATATCCTTCTATATCCTACTATCCAGAGCTAACAAATTAAAGCATTTTGATGTATTCCCTTCCAATTATACACACACACACACGTAGAGATAAAGAAATTTGAATTATGTTTTCTGTATAATAGCTGTGCATCCTGGTTTGTTAACTTTATGACCACATTTTTATGTGTAAATATTTTCATTCTTTTTTATTGTGGTAAATTATATATAACATAATATTTGCCATTTTCACCATTTTTAAGTGTACAATTCAGGAGCATTAATTACATTCACAACATTGTGCAACCATCACCACTATTTCTAATTTTTTTCATCACCCCAAACTGAAACTCTTTACCCATTAAGCAATAACTCCCATTGCCCCTCCACCTAGCCTCTGATAACTGCTAAACTATTTTTTGTCTCTATGAATTTGCCAGTTCAAGATGTTTCAAATAAATTGAACCATACAACGTTTGTCCCTTTATTTCTGGCATATCTTATTAGCATAATACTTTCATGATTCATCTATGTTGTAGCATGTGTCAGAACTTCATTCTTTTTTATGGGTGAATAATATTCCATTATATATATACCACATTTTAATGTTGATGTGTTGAAACTCAACTGATTCTTGTGTGACGATCTTGTATCCTGCAACATAGCTGAATTCATTTATCAACTCTAGCAGTTTTCTTGAGGATTCTTTGGGATTTCCAATATTTGGTATCATATCACTTGTGAATAGAGATAGTTTTACTTCTTTCCTCCAACTTGAATGACTTTTATTTCTTTTTCTTCTCTAATTGCTCTAGATAGAACTTCCAATGCAATGCTGAATAACAGTGGTGAAAGTAGGCATCCTTGTTTTGTTCCTGATTTTAGGGGGGAAAGCTTTCAATCTTTCACCCTTGAGAATGATGTTAACTCTAGGTTTTTTATTACATAATATATAATTATGAGGCTTACATGTAATATGCTAAATGTGTAACAATCTAGTTTGAATAGGTACCTTAACTTTAGTAGCATATAAGAACTCTGCTACTTTACAGGTCTGTCTCCTCCTTTTATGCTATTGTTGTCAAATTACATCTTTATCCATTGTGTGCCCAGTAACATACGTACATAATTGTTTTTTTATGCATTTGTCTTTTAAATCATGTAGGAATAAAAAGCTGAGTTAAAAAACACAAATACAATAATATAGGATTTTATATTTGCCCAAATAATTACCTTTATTGGGCAAAATGAGTACGCCAATAAAGAGATAGACATTATAAAAGAGGATTCTTTAAAAAGGATGTCTTTGGGCTTCATTTTAAAATTTCTATCTCTTTAATACTCTCCTTTTGTTCACATTATTTCCCTGATTTCCTTCAGTTCTTTGAGCATGTTAAAAACAGTTGTATTAAAGTCTTTTCCCAGTAAGTCCAACGTCTGGGATTCCTCAGAAATAATTTCTGTCAATTTATTTTATTCCATTAAATATTATAATGTTGTAACTCTGGAAAGCAGATTCTTTCCCCTCCCCAGGGCTTGATGTTTTTTGTTTTGCTGCTTTTTGAAGACTGTAGTAGTCCATTTATTTAGTGACTTTTCTAAACTATTTTTGCAAAGATTAGATCAGTTGTCATGTGTGGTCACTAAAATCTCTATTGCTTTAGCTTTTGTTCAGCTAGTGTTTTGACAGAGATATCCATAAGTTGAATTCCATGAGTTTAAAAACATGAACAAAGAAATACCTCTCCCAGTCTTTGCAGACTAGTTCTGTGCTGGGGCACTTCAACACTTAACTAAGCTTGTGCTGAGTCTAGTGATTATCCAGGGCTGAAAGCTTAGGGTCTTTTCTGGTCTTTTCTGAGCGTACATCTTTGGCAGGCACATGGCTTTCTATATTCCCCAACATGCACAGGTACTTTTGAATACCATAATTTTCCAAATAAATGCTCCTTAACTTTTCTTTCTAGGCTTCAGGTTGTTATTTTATGTCTCAACTGTAATCTTTTGCTCCCCATGACTATGGGTAGCTTGTTAGCCTTACAGTGTTTTTAAGGAGTGTATGCTGTTTTTCCGCCCTGACTAAGTTTTTTATTAGGCAAAACAGAGATGAACACCTTGCATCAGTTCTCCAGGTAGCTTCCAGACAGGTTAGAACAGACATACACAATAATTTGTGAATAAAGTCTGCTTTTCCCCTTTCGTAACCAGGGACCAGGATCCCCTGCTGGGAATGCAGACAACCATGTTCAAGACTGCCATTGAGCTAAGGAGGGAGGGGGGCAAGGGCAAGTAAAAATGCCACAAAGCTTTCTTCCCATTTTTAAGTTGTCTTTTCCTTGACTCAGCATTTGCTTGTTTGCTGTAAACTTTCGTCTGTTTTTCAGAGATCTGACAAAATTGCTTCAGACAGTTTCCTTTTGTTTTTCAATGTTTCTGTGGAGGGATGGGATGTTGGAGTTGCTAATCTGCCATGTGGTTGATGTCACTCCTCATTTTGTTATTAAATATTTGAAAACATTACTTCTTAGTGACTGTATGTTGTTTCATTATAGAGATGTACCATAGTTTATTGTAAATGATGCTGTGATGAACATCTTCCTACATCTCTGATTTTTTAGCTTAGGATAAACTTCCAGAAATGGAATAGCTATGTCAAAGGTTATGAACATTTTTCAGTCTCTTCATATTTATTGCCAAATTGCCCTGCAGAAGGTATTTTTGTGTCAATATACGTTTCCACAAGCAGTGTATGAGAGTGCTCACTTCATCACTTCCTCATCTATAATGTAATAGTCTTTGCTTATTTAATAGGGGGAAAAGGGCATCTTGTTGTTGTTCTGTCTTCTCTTTCAAGAATTCCTCATATGACTTGAGTTTGAATTCATTCATTGTTTTATTCCCTTACTTTGTGATGTATCAATATTTCAATTTGTCAATTTCCTCAGATATATGGGCCCAAGAAGTTACACCATTCTTCTGATGAAGAATACAAAATTTTCCTGCTCTCATATACATATAAAACTTGAATTTATTTTGTAGTGAATTTGAATGGTGCCTATCCCAAGCTGGTGCCTTTCAGACCTGCAGGACGGCTGATCTCCCCGCCTCTGCTGCTCTCTGTGATTCTCAACATTCTTCTCAGCCTGGCCATGCACATTGTGGGCTTCATTCTGGTTCAGAGGCAGCCTTGGTATTCCATGGGGATGCACAGGTATGATCACAGCCTTAGATTGCCACATTCTAATTTCTGTCAAACATCATCTGGCCCATATGTTGGGAGGCAAATGGGTCTTCATTCTACTAAAGCTTTGGCTTCCTTAAGGCCCTTGGCAGTTTTCCAGTGATCTCTTCTTTGTAGCACAGTTTGGTGGCATCATTCATTAGCACTTATCTTTGCTCATCTTGAATGATAGTGAACTCTGACCATCTTTTATATCTAGGGTGACCATGCATTATAGTTTGGCTAAGCAGCCCTATTTTAAGCCTGATATCCCAAAGAAATGATTATATTTTTTCCTTTCACACTCAAATCTGTGCCTGTTGGATGATAAATTGTATAGTCACACTACTTGTAAATGTTCAGAAATCTGAAGCAAATAGAGGGAAGTGTCATGACTTACTCATATCTTTTTCTCTCACATAGTCTTACTACATTATTGGTGCCCAACTTATTGAATAAGTAACTTGTTGGATCTGTTATCTATCTATCTATCCATTGATATCTATCTATCACCTATCTATCAATCATCTATCCATCTACCCAAAATATAGATCTATACATGCTGGTTTCTTTCTCCTTACTTTTCAGTATATTCTTTCCCAAAGTGTAGGCAGTTATAGAAGCATTGAGGACATGTAGTTGTGTAGATACATATGCTTCGTAAGGGCTTGTCATCTCACTTCATTAGCTTCTTTGGTTTCCTTTTTAGTACCTGCACAGTGCAAAATGAAACCACCTCAAAGTTAACCATTTCTCCAACTGCTCCAGATAAGATCGGAAGTAATGGTGTCTTCACAAGTTTTGAGAACACTACTATATGGTTCTTGGGAACAATCAACTGTATCATTGTGGCTCTTGTCTTCTCTAAAGGAAAACCATTTAGGCAGCCCACATACACAAACTGTGAGTAGAACTGTACCGTATCAGAGGTAAGAGGTCATCAGAGAGGAGAACAGATGCTCCTGGGTCACTCAAGGAGCAATTGCCGAGTTGGCACTCATCTAGGGTCTTCTGACTTCCGCTCCAGGGCTCTGTAAACACATGCAGCCTTATTTCCTGGTCCTTTGCTACCTGCCTCAAAGCTGTGTTAAATACTAGAGTTTCTTAATCCACCACTTCCTCTCCCTAGAAATTTGTCTCTAGGTATTTTTTCATGGGTTCACTCCAAATTGGGAAGACACGTTTAATTCTCTGCTTGTCAGTACTTGTCAGAATTCATCTCAGAGGAGGTGGGGAGAAGGGTCACAGCACTCAGTTGGAAGTGTCTCCTGCCATGAATACAATGGTCAGGATGACACTGTGTGATTGGCAGTTCTGGGAGCGGGTCCAGCCTGGAGGAGCCTAACTATAGAAACTTGTTGAGATTCTTGGCCAAAGTACCTCTCACCTCCTTACAGTCCGGGCTGAGGGTGAAGGTGAGTGTTAGGAGAAGTAGGTGACCTGTTTAGCTTTGGGGACATGTATTTGCATAGCATCACTACCCCTCTAATTGGGAAAATTTAGAAGCACAAGTTGAAGAATCAATATCCTCAGAAAAATCTGTTCGGAGAAAGTTATTTTGCTCTTCTTCTTGGGATGAGGAAGCAATCGAATGCTGACCTCCGCATGATTGCAGTTCAAACATTTGTTTATTTACAGTCCTCCTGCTTCCCAGAAAAGGATTTGAGGCAGATGGTTTTTTTTTTTCTTTTTGCCGTACGTGGGCCTCTCACTGCTGTGACCTCTCCCATCGCGGAGCACAGGCTCCGGATGCGCAGGCTCAGCGGCCATGGCTCACGGGCCCAGCCGCTCCGCAGCATGTGGGATCTTCCCAGACCGGGGCACGAACCCGTGTCCCCTGCATCGGCAGGCGGACTCTCAACCACTGCGCCACCAGGGAAGCCCAGATGATTTTTTTTAACATCTTTATTGGAGTATAATTGCTTTACAACGGTGTGTTAGTTTCTACTTTATAACAAAGTGAATCAGCTATACACATACATGTGAGGTGGATGATTTGCATTAAAGAGACTCAGATACTTGGATATCTCCAAGGCATTTATTGAAAACGTTATTTTGTCAGTATTACCCTATATGTATGTCCCATTTTTACTAATTGAAACATATAACATGCATGTGAAATTTTCCACTTACCTCAAGGACATACATAGAAATCGTAGAGGTGAGACCTATTGCATAGAAATGAGTACTTTTCATCTATTTTGCTGAGTTTGGATGTAGAAATCAAGTAACTCTAATCAGTGTTAATCTAGAATATGTGTATCAATGGATGTGATACTCTGGACTCAGATTTCTCTAAATGATAGCTTGTGTTCTTATTTCCTCAGATATATTTGTCCTTGTGCTGGTCATACAGCTGAGTGTGTGTCTATTCATTCTATTTGCCGATATTCCAGAATTATATAGGCGTCTGGATGTAAGTCTTATCTCTGGGATATGATGATATTTTATAGTTATATAACACCCCGACTTCAAAAAGCAGGCCACAATTGCAATTGACATGGATTCTTGACACCTATTATTCTTTTGAGATGGTAGGGTTAAAATGAATGCTGAATTTATTCATATTTTTTATTTAAGCTGGTTGGGAAATAAAATTCTGTCTAGCCTTGATTTCAAGTATTTCAAAAGCATTGAACATTTTTCCTTTAAAAGATCCCTGTAAGATTGGAAATCCTATTTATACATTTTCTCTTAAAGAGAATTTTCTCTTAAATGGTTTTGCTTTGAAGCTGTTTAAAACAGTCTTGCCTATGACACTTTTGGGGTTAATTCTCAAATCTGTATTTATATTTTTTTTAAACTCTTTAAAAACTTGTTTTTCTGTATTACATACTTAATGTCTGCAAAACCTATGTTCAAAGATCCATATCTTACCTCAAGTACTCTCTTACAGCTTTGTAATTTTGAGACAACTGTGAAACTCTAGAAGAGATAGAAATTTTACATATTCAAGCAAGAGAAAATGTATATTTTGATTCCTCATCTATTCTTCTTTTGAATTAGAAGTTAATCATTAATAAAAGTCCTTTAGCCCAATAAATAGGATGCAGAAGAGATGATAAAAGGAACTGAGCTTTTAGTTCTTTGTAAAATTGCCTGTCTGCTTCTCCCTCTCAAAGATAATTTTCATGAGGGCCAAGATCCTATCTTATTCATTCTTGTATTACCAGTGCCTGGCATAGTGAATGGCACATAATGGCAATGACTGACTGACTGATCATTGCAGATCAGGTTCCTAAATGTAGACAAGCATTTGGAGTACATAGTGCATTCCAAACCAGCAACACCTTCACAAACCCATGGTGACATTTGACATATAAACTAATATCTACATTCAGCTTTTCATTTTTGTAATTGTATTACTGTGGTTAACAGTATAATTGTATTCATGAATTAGATTAGGTACTCATGGAGATAAATAGTCTTTGCCCACTAGTCTTCTAAATGAGTTAAAATTCCTTAATTCTGCCGAAACTAAGGTTAAAACATGTTAGATTTAGTTACACTCTTAAGTTAGTGAAGACCGTTTCAGAGGGGCTGGGACCTCTTGTAACAAAATAAGGAATGTATTTGGTTTGGAGGGAACCTGTGCAGAGTCATTGCCAGCATGACTTCAAAAGATTCTGCAAAGGATTATTGCTCACCTTAAAAATAATTATTTTTCTTATTACATAAAATTATGGGTGCATTTAAAAAAATGTAACTGTGCAGGTAAGGAAAATTATAACATTATTAACTATAGCCTTCCATCTTTAAAATTCATATATTATAAATGTGTGTTTGATTTATGAAGTTTATTTTATTTTAAATGGAATCATGCTGCTTTGCATCCTAATTATTGCTCATTTTTTTTTAATTCATATTTTTTTTTAAATAGAGAAAACATTCCCATGGTTTAAAATTCAAAAGTTTAGAGAAGTTATGTGGTGAAAACCTCCCTCCCATCCTTGTTCCCCAACTACCAGTTCCTCTCTCTGGAGACAACTGATAACACCAGTTTATTTTACATACGTTCAGATATGTATTGTACACATGTACATGTACAATTTCTTATACGTATTTTCTACCACGTTTACACAAATAGTAACAAACTGTTACATTTGTCCAAGTCTTCTGAGATGGAGATATCCAGGTGAGGTGAGATGTGTAAGAAAGTTATTGGAAGAATTACCTATGAAGGAAAAAAAAAAAAAAAAGATTAGGAAGCCAGTGGAGGTGGGGAGGATGCCACACTATGATGTGGGTCTGACCCCTGGGAAGGACAGAGGGAAGGAACGCGAGCTGGATGAGTTGAGTTTCAGACTGCAGCGCGATTCCAAGAAAGTCAAGCCAAAGTTGCCCATCAGAGGTGTCTAGTGTCTCACAAGAATGAGTGTGGTTAGAAGCCCTGCATGTACACTGTGAACAGCATGAAGTTTTTGCAGCATAATTAGTCTTCAGACTGACTGTGCTTTTTCATCTCCCACTAGCTGCTCTGCACTCCTGTCCTGTGGAGGGTCTACATTGTCATTATGCTCGGCTCCAATTTCATTGTGTCCCTGGTCGTGGAGGTAAGTGGCCTCAGGTTGCTGATTGCTAGTTGGGGTGGCGGAGGCATTCTCTGGGAGTCTGAAAAAGGAACAGCTTTAGCTGACAAGGCTCAACAGTGCAAGGGTCTCCCTTCCTTGGCAACATGAGCAGTGATGCTTTCCTCTGATGAATTCCAAACAAGGTATTCATTTGCCTATATCTGTAAAGTGGGGCTGGGGAGGATGGGAGAAGGTCCTCTCCATTTCTAGAATTCACAAATAGAGACCCAACTCAATTCATTCAAATTTCTTCAAAAGAAACTGATATATGAGTCACATACTATAAGATTTACCTTTTTAAGTGTACGATTCAGTGGTTTTTAATATGTTCACTGAGTTGTGCAACCTCCAACACTGTCTAATTCTAGAACATTCTCATCATCCTGAAAGAAATCCCACACCCATTAGCAGTGACTCCTTATTCCCCCTTCTTCTTCCTTCACCCCCTGGCAACCACTAAACTACCTTCTGTCTGTGTGGATTTGCCTATTCTGGGCATTTCATATAATAGGGGATCATACAGTATGTGGCCTTTTGCGTCTGGCTTCTTTCACTGAACAACTTCTATCATTTTTACTTTACAGATGGGAAATGAGATTCAGAGTGAGCTTTTCCCAGCTTTTATTCCTTATGCTCCATTTCCCCAGGAAAATGAGCCTGTGCTCCCCCTTTGCCTTGCTACGCGCTTTACTCTCTCCTCCTTCAATGCTGTTAGACACAATCCCCATTTCTTAAAGCCCACTCTTGGAGGGGGCGCCCCAGAAAAGGCATCCATTCTGTAGGAGGGATGAGCTTTAAGACTCCATCTGTCCCCATTCCTGC